CAGAGCAGCGCACGGAAACACTGTTTACCTTACCGCCAGAGCAGTACCTATTTATCTACTTGCACTTGACGTGCTTTTGAACTGCTAGGTTGGCAGGAGCAGGGTCTGAGCAATGGGAGCTCACCCCATTGCGGGGATCCGAACCGCCGACCTTCTGATCAGCAAGTCCTAGGCTCCGTGGTTTAACCCACAGCGCCACCCGCGTCCCGCTTAAAGTGTTATAAAAATGCCTTAAAGGTATGACGAGGATGTGGCTGTTGGTGAAGAAACAGTATCTACCTCTGAGGGCAGCGGGCTGGCCTAGGTGGTGCAGGGCAAGCTGCATGGCACACACAGCCCTGTCCGTCGCCTGCTATGAGCACCCGCCTGAGGCGCCTGCCTCCATCTGCCTAATGACAGGGCCAGCCCCAGCAGTCAGGCTGCCCATTCCATCACTGCCTGGGCAATTTGGGCAGGTCTTTAAATGAAAAAGGCTCAGCCCTGGAAGTAATTGTGCCATCAGCTCTGTCCAAGAGGTGTCTGTTGCTGCTCGCTTGCACACTGCCGACAAAACAGGCGGTTTTGCTAGACCCTTAGGCGATGTTATAGGGCAGCTCCGAGTCAAGGTGAAAATGCCATTCCTGTTTCTTTCATTAACCCTCCCAGGCCTGTCATTAAATATGGCAGGCTTAGCATTTTTCTCTTGAAATGAAAGAGCATCGCTTAATCCCAGGAGACTGGAAGGCTGGTTTTTTCCTTTCCTCGTTCTGCCTCTCCCCCCGTTTCTTTCTTTGCCGCTGCCTAAGTTTGATGAACAAGACAAGGTCAGCAATTTTCAGCTTATTGACAGAACTCTATTTATCTTTAGAAGTATTAAAATGGTATTTCGAGAGTGCCCAGAGCGGAAAAGTAGACTAAACTACAATATATATCACACACAAGCCTGCCTTATCAGAAGAGCTCTTTGTCTGGGAGGCAGGAGTGCTGTATGTGGGAGTCAAAGAAACAAAGAATTGGAAGGGACCCTGAGGATCATCTAGTCCAACCCCCCGCAATGCAGAAATATGCAGCTGTTCCATATGGAGGTCGAACCTGCAACCTTGGCGTTATCAGCACCACGCTCTAACCAACTGAGCTAAGCTGGGTGTTGGGGGGTGCATGTTTTGGGAACATAAGTCAGATACTGGTCCATCTAGTTCAGTGGTTCTCAACCTGTGGGTCCCCAGATGTTGTTGGACTACAACTCCCATCATCCCTGAGCTCTGGCCTTGCTGGCTAGGGGTGATGGGAGCTGTAGTTCAACAACATCTGTGGACCCACAGGTTGAGAAAGGCTGATCTAGAGCATGGTGTATTGCCTACACCAGGCTTCCTCAACCTCGGCCCTCCAGATCTTTTTGGCCTACAACTCCCATGATCCTTAGCTAGCAGGACAAGTGGTCGTGGATGATGGGAACTGTAGTCTCAAAACATCTGGAGGGCCGAGGCTGAGGAAGCCTGGTCTACACAGTGGCTCTCCAAGGCTTCAGGCAAGGAGTTCTCCCAGACCTACCAGGAGATTCTGGGGGATTAAACCTGGGATTTTCTGTATGCAAAGCAGTTGCTCTACCACTGAGCTATGGCCCGCCCACCATTTTGCATGATTAGAGAAGATTCTCATCAGGGTGTTTATTCAGTGCGGCAGGCAGAACTCTTAAAAGTGCTTCCATGGGTGATTTTATTATAGATTCAGCACTGCTTAGGTATGACAATTTTTTTTTTGGAAGCATCCACATGACACCATCCTCGCTGAAATGCAATACTATAGCCCCCCTATTTGAATCTGGATTTGCCATTTCTACTGTTTTAATCCACTTACTGGATTTTCTGTCGAAACCATAACTCCAGATCCAAGCCCTATCTCAGAAGTACGGCCGAGACTAGGGTCAGCTCCCTTCCGTCATACACAGGGAAGGGAGAATCATCCAATTTTGGTTTCTCTCCATTTCTCATCCTTCCAGCCTTAAACTCAGATCTCTACACTTCCACATCAGTTTGCAATCTTTTACTTAAAAAAACAACACCCCAATGAAAATTCATCAGCGTTTTAGTGTGAATTTCTCCTTATATAGAGGCATTTGCATGCTATTTTGCTGAACATAATACACATTTGGGCAATTATCCCAAATAGAATAAATTTGTGTGTGTTACATTCACTAACATATGCTTTCTGTGCACAGCTTTCCCTGGTATATCCATTCTTTTTTTTTTATGCTTTGCTTGGCTGGAGAGCTGAATTGAAAAATTCATAAAAGTACAAATTTCAAAGGAAAGCTGTGTTTCGGTTCGTGCATTGTTTTGGTAGGTGCAAATGGGGGTAGGTTCACCTTAAAAAGTGACCTGAATATGCACTTTCTCTCCCATCAGTACTCATGCATTTTTCAGGTTCCATCTCAACACTTCACCCGTAAATGTGTGGTATATTAGATAGCTCAACATCAAAAAGACTAAGATCATGGCCACTGGTCCCATCACCTCCTGGCAAATAGAAGGGGAAGAAATGGAGGCAGTGAGAGATTTTACTTTCTTGGGCTCCATGATCACTGCAGATGGTGACAGCAGTCACGAAATTAAAAGACGCCTGCTTCTTGGGACAAAAGCAATGGCAAACCTAGACAGCATCTTAAAAAGCAGAGACATCACCTTGCCACCAAAGGTCTGTATAGTTAAAGCTCTGGTTTTCCCAGTAGTGATGTATGGAAGTGAGAGCTGGACCATAAAGAAGGCTGATCGCCAAAGAATTGATGCTTTTGAATTATGGTGCTGGAGGAGACTCTTGAGAGTCCCATGGACTGCAAGAAGATCAAACCTCTCCATTCTGAAGGAAATCAGCCCAGTGCTCACTGGAAGGACAGATCGTGAAGCTGAGGCTCTAATACTTTGGCCACCTCATGAGAAGAGAAGACTCCCTGGAAAAGACCCTGATGTTGGGAAAGATGGAGGGCACAAGGAGAAGGGGACGACAGAGGATGAGATGGTTGGGCAGTGTTCTCGAAGCTACCAGCATGAGTTTGACCAAACTGCGGGAGGCAGTGGAAGACAGGAGTGCCTGGCGTGCTCTGGTCCATGGGGTCACGAAGAGTCGGACACGACAAAACAACAACAACAAATATTGGATAGAGTGTCAGCATGGGACTTGGGAGACCTGGGTTCAATTCCCCACTTCGCCATAAAGCTCCCTTGGGCTAGCCACTGTCTCTCAACCTAACCTACCTCACAGGGTTATTGTGAGAATATAATGAGGAGGGGGAGAACCATGTACAGTACATTGAGCGCCTTGGAGAAAAAGATGGGACGTAAATGCAATAGATATATAATAAATTTGAGACACACACACACAGAGGACAACCTTTAGCACAAATAGTCTGGCCCTCATTTTCACATTTTCTTCTGTAAGACAGGCAGTAACAGTGAATCAGCTCATCAGGTAGTTGGAGCGTATAATAAAGTGTTATGCAAATGATCGATAATGAGGAAAAAACATTCGGATTTAGAGTTCTTCCCCTCAGCCAAATTCTGGAAGGAGATTGCAGGTACTTAAAGTGCATCAAACTGTAATTTTGTTCTATAAAAAGAAGTTCTTACAATAAAGTACCTGGTAATAACCCTTCTTGAGTTTTCTGGTGCCGCTGTGGGTTACGGAGGCACAAATACACACACACGCACACACACAGCAGCAGCAGCATGCACAATATTGTTATAACCTTTTCTCGGCAGACGTGATCTGACATCAATTTACCATCCTCTTGACATCTTAAAGTTGTTTCTTTATAAGACTCGCATCCGTGTCAGTTTGTTTCCAGTTGATATTGTGAGACTGCCTTCCTGCATTTGTTCTGACAATTTATTTTCAGGTTGACATCATGCCCATCTCTACAGACCTGAGTGGGCATCCGTCATAAGCCGGTTGATTCAAATTATAAGCGATGTGAGCCCATAAACTACATTAAGGCGCAAGGTTTGCTCAGTTACTGCCGTTCCTACGGTGGCATCCCGAGCCATTTGGCTTCTTATTGTATTATTCAATCCTCCATCTACCCCCCTTTTCCCCTCTCCCTTCCCTCCTCCTGGAACACAACTGCTCTTGCAAATAGCAGCCATTTCGCTCCAAAGCATTCCAGGAGAATTAACTGGGCATGCAGATGCAAAACTGATCCCATCAGTATGGAGTACAAACTCATCAAATGGTTGGAACAAATAACTATACTGACAGGACAAAAATTAAGGTGGCAATCCTAAGCACAAATGCTAGAGCGAAGAGGAACTTCCTTCCAAATTACATGTGCTGCGCAAATGTGGTGGCCCAGTATACCTGAAGGAGTGTCTCCACCACCATTGTTCTGCCCGGACCCTGAGGTCCAGCGCCGAGGGCCTTCTGGCAGTTCCCTCACTGCGAGAAGCAAAGCTACAGGGAACCAGGCAAAGGGCCTTCTCGGTAGTGGCACCCGCCCTGTGGAACGCCCTCCCACCAGATGTCAAAGAGAAAAACAACTACCTGACATTTAGAAGAAATCTGAAGGCAGGCCTGTTTAGGGAAGTTTTTAATGTGTGACATTTTAATGTATTGTTAACCTCTGTTGGAAGCCACCCTGAGTGGCTGGGGAAACCCAGCCAGATGGGCAGGGTACAGTCATGACCGACTCTGGGGTTGCAGCGCTCATCTTGCTTTATTGGCCAAGGGAGCCGGCGTACAGCTTCCAGGTCATGTGGCCAGCATGACTAAACCGCTTCTGGTGAACCAGAGCAGCGCACGGAAATGCCTTCCCGCCGGAGCGGTAGCTATTTATCTACTTGCAGTTTAACATGCTTTCGAACTGCTAGGTTAGCAGGAGCAGGGACCGAGCAATGGGAGCTCACCCCATCGTGGGGATTCGAACCGCCAACCTTCTGATCGGCAAGTCCTAGGCTCTGTGGTTTAACCCACAGCACCACCCACGTCCCCTGGGTAGGTTAGAGTGAGAAAAGTGGCTGACCCAAACGGAAGGGCCATAGCTCAGTGGTAGAGGATCTGCCTTGCATGTAGGAGGTCCAAAGTTCGATCCTTGACACCCCCAAGTTAGGTTGCCTGAAAACTGCTGCAAGTCAGTGTAGGGTAGGGAAGCTTTTCAGCCTAAAGGGCCACATCACCATCTGTGCAAAGTTCCAGGGGCCACATGTCGGGGGAGGGGGAAGCACCAGAGGCAAAAGAGAGGGGAGCAATAAAGGCAGAGATTGGATTCAAGTTACAAGAAAGAACTTTCCAACTAAACATCAGGAGGAGCCATTTGACAGTGGAACAGACTCCCACGGAAGGTGATGGACTCTCTCCTTCCTTGGAGGTTTTTAAGCAGAGGTTGGATGGTTCTACAACAAAAAGAAAATGGGTTCATTTTTCTACTCAATACACTTCATCCTTCAGGTTTAAATGCTGAATTAGATTATAGTTGCTTTCTTTAGTTGAATATTGGACAAACCTTTAACCAACATATAATACAGTGGATGCTCGGGGTGTGAACATGATCCATGCGGGATGCATGTTCGCAACCTGCAGCGTTTGCAACCAGCGTCTGTGCGTCTACGCATGCGCTGGTTGCGATTTGGTGCTTCTGCGCATGTGCGACCACCAAAACTCGGAAGTAACCTGTTCCGGTACTTCCAGGTTTCGGCGGTCCACAACCTGAAAAGAATGCAACCTGAAGTGGCTGTAACCCGATGTATGACTGTATGCCTGTTGTAACAATTCTCTGTGTATAGTACATTACTGAGCAATGTTCCTTTAAGAGCGAATTAACATGAATTATCTGCACCTGTCGCCTTAGCTAGTGTTGCCCCCTTATATAGTACTCAGACTTACAGGTTTACCACGACTGAGAATCTGTCACAAATATGATCCATGTAGCTGTTATATACAGTAACGGTATGTACATTTGTTATATCCTTGTATGGTTCTTTGGAATTTGTGCAGCTAATATATTACAAAGTGTCTATGTTTATATGATTTAGAACCACACACAGCTGATGAAGCCCCTTGGGGCGAAACAGGGGAATATCCAGGAATCCTTGTCTTGTCTGCCTGTGCCAGCATCTACCAGTGCCAGTTTCTTATGTCTACCAACCTTATTATCTTCATTAGACACTTACAAGACGATTTCATGGTACTCTTCTAAGGAATACGTCAGATAGAAAAATACAAAAGAAGATGAAGAAATTAGAAATGAATGTACTATGTGACTGACAAAATAGGAATCACATTTTTTACATACTGGACTCGGTGGTTAACTGAATAAGCTACATTTTAATATGTTATGTCACGTTGTTGATTTTGACATTGTGAGAAGCTGTATCTAATTTTGAGAAGCAGTTTCTAGTAAATAACTTTACAATTGTTATTATTCAGCTTATTACGTTTACGTGTTTTTTCAAGTGGATTTGCGTAATATAGGACTTCTAGTGGTTTTGATTTTAGTTTATATTCCTGCATTGCAGGGGGTTGGACTAGATGACCCTCAGAGTCCCTTCCAAGTCTACGATTCTATGATTTTATGTTTGTGCTGTAGGCTAGTTTCTTCAGACTCCCATGCCCCTCTCCATCCATGGTCAGGGTTCAAAGACACTTTCCAGCCAGTCAGAAACACATTAGAAAAATCTATTAGAGATTTTCCTGTGCAAGTTGTTTTGTGACAGAAGGCTTTATTTGTTTGTTTATAAAAATGTTTGCATATGGCTAGTCATTAAAAAAAAATCAAAACAGTTTACAGCAAACATACATACGATCAAAACCACGTAAGAAACAAAAACAAAAACCAGAGAGCAACTATTAGAGAGAGAGATTTTCTTAATTGCCTGCATAAGCTTGACAACTAAGCATACGTTTTATGATCAGTTCCCTAAGAAATAGGAAAATAAGCCCTTGATAAAAGCACCGTTGCCAAAATGTGTCAGGCATACTGAACAATAAAATAATTTTCCTCCTTAGCATCTTTGAGATACGCGTATCCTTTTTGTTTGTCAGCAATGAAGCTCCCCTTGTATTACAGGGCAGTCTTTTTCGGGAAGGAAAAGAAACCATGGGTAGTATTCAATTCCGCTTTACTCACATAGCTTCTGAAATTAATGATTGAAATTAATGGGCCAAACATGGTCATGCTCCTTAATTTCATTGTGTCTATTCTGAGTAAAACTTGGTTGGATCTCACCCCATGAGTAAGATAAGCCAAGCAGGCTGGGTTGTATCAACTATTAGTCCTTACTCAAAGCAGACCCACTGAAATGAATAAACACGACTAACTTAGGTCCATGCATTTCAATGGGTCAACTCTGAATGGGGCTTAGTTGTATACAACCCAATGTTATGATGATCCAGGGCTCTGAATTCCCATTATCAGGGGAAGAGGCTGAGGAGGGGATACAGAGGACACCCTAGACCAGGGAGAAGATTTGTCCAGCCCTCATCTTTTAAGAGGTTCCAGCACCAAAGGAACTCATGATGTCCGTGCCTCTCTGACTTGAAGAAGTTGCATTGCCTTAACATAAGAACATACAAGAGCCAGTAGTCCATCTAGTCTGGCATTGTGTTTCTCACAGTGTCCAACCACATGCTTTTGGACAACCCACAATAGCCTTCTGCCCTCCTGCAATTTCCAGCAACTGATATTCAGAACTATTTCTGCCTCCACATTTGGTGGAAGAGTAGGATACGAAAAGGGAATCTTTCACAAATGACAACCATGGTGCATTGGAAGCATATGAAATTGACCTCTGATGATGCTTCTATGTCTTCAGCTGGGGGTCAGAAAAACACACACACACACCAAGCAACCCCACAGCTTCTAAAATTAACCAATATAGGCATGTGATTAAAAACTGCAGTAGAGGGATGCATTTGTTTCCAGCGTGGTTTCTGGATTGTATTGGATCTCCCCTTCGTATATTTTATTAAACCTCCAGTGGCCCATTTAAGTCTGGAGGGGTGCCTGGCACTTCGCAAGTCCTCCCAGATTAAATCGAGATTCTCTTTCAGAGGCAGGCATGCTGTTGGACTCCGATTAAGAGAAAATTAAGCTCCTGGGGCCAGTGCAGGCAAGTGGAACCAACAGCATGTCAGTGAGTGCCAGAGATTCCTACATTTCAACCAAGCTCTGCTATATTTCCCTTGCATCAGGCACTCACACCTGCTGTTCCCCACTGAGCTGGTTGAAGTCCAGGAGAGCTTAAGAGAAAGAGCAATTGCATCTGTTGAGCACAGTCCTGTGTGCAGGGCAAGCCAGGAGCTTACAGTTTGATCCAGACCATATTTCCTTGGAAGCAAGTCCTTCCAATTTCCGTGGGACTTTCACCCGAGAAAAATATGCTTGCTGTTTCCAGCTGGGTGGCATGGCGAGAGACAAACAAGAAGTCTACTCCCGGGAATCAGAGGCAGCATACATCTGAATTATCACTTTCTGGGGGTACAACCAGAGGAGAGGGCTATTTTTCTCATGCCCTTCTCATGGGCTTGCCAAAGGCTGGGAAGTTTTCTGTGGGCTAGGATTTAATGTCATGTAGCATTCTGTGTACTAGTTGTTGTTTTTAATTACCTGAAGTTCAAGGATTAATGTATCAGGTATGGAGGTCCACAGAAGCAACATAAGGTGGTATGAGGTCAAGTTACAACTTGTAAATACAACAACAACAACAACAACAACAACAACAACAACAACAACATATTATTTATTATTTATACCAAGCCCATCTGGTTGGGTTTCCCCAGCCACTCTGGGTGGCTGCCAACAAAGTATTAAAATACAGTTGTCTGTTAAACATTAAAAGCTTCTCTAAACAGGGCTGCCTTCAGGTGTCTTCTAAAAGATAGCTGATGGCTCTTTGGGGTCTTTACAAGATTGAGTCCCACACCACTATATGGTCTGACGAGAAACAATTAAAAACAGATGGGCTGTGCCTGTCAGTGATTTTAATGTGTTGTATGGGGTTATATGTCTCAGAACTAACTTCAGATTGCTTTGATTGTCCAGTTAACAGTAACAGAGTAAGGCATCAAGTCATACAGAGGACAATCCTAACCAGTGCTATTTTCCTAGAAAAAAAGGTGCCAGAACTCACCATGAATGCTTCCCTTGTTCTCTTATAAGGGCAATGGCACCCACCTGAGAGGTGCTGGAACTGAGTACTGGTGAGTTCCAGCTGAAGAAAAGCCCTGATCCCTGTTGTGATCCAGAATCACCATTCAAACAGATTCCTGGAGAACAGCAATGACTTTTCCTCTTGTGAACAGGAATTTTCAACTCCGACAAGTATGAAAGATCAGAATATGAAAGATCTTTGTGTTGATGAGGTGATGAATCATAGAGTTGTAGAGTTGGAAGGGACCCCATGGGTGATCTAGTCCAACCCCCTGTAATGCAGGAAACTCAGCTAAAGCATCCATGACAGATGGCCACCCAACCTCTGCTTAAAAATCACCAAGGAAGGAGAGTCCACAACCTCCCAATGAGAATTTGTTTGTCTCAAATTAGACCTAATATCAAGAAGATTAGCCAGCAAAAGCAAGCTCACACCTCTCATTGAGTTTGTATACATATTTAAGGCGAAAGATTTACCGTATTTTTCGCTCCATAAGGCGCACCTACTTTTTTTTTGGGGGGGGGAGAAATAAAGGGAAAAAATATGCAGTTCTTGGGGGCTTTTGTGGGAGGTGGGGGAAGTGAGAGAGCCTTGCTCTGTCCCCACCTCCCGCAAAAGCCAGGGATAGCCATGTGAAGCCTCCCCAGGGCAGCAGGATGAAGGCTCCCCACTGCCCTGCGGAGGCTTCCCGGGCTACCCCAAAGCTGCTCTTTGGGGAAAGCCACTGCCAGCCCCAAAGAGCCAAACTTGTAGGGCTGGCGGTGGGCAAAGCTGAGCTTCCCCCACCGCCAGCCCCGAGGAGCTTGTCGGGGCTGGCGGGGGAAGCCCGGGTCCCCCCCCCCAGCCCCAGGGACCACACATTTGCTCCATAAGATGCACAGACATTTCCCCTTAGATTTTAAGTGGGGAAAAGTGCATCTTATGGAGCGAAAAATACGGTATATGATCTGAAAAG